CGTGAACGCGAGACCCATTGCTCGGGAGCAAATTAGGCAAGAGGGATTGCTCGGAGAAATAGTGCTGCAAAGTCGGCCAAAACTCTCACCATGCAAATCGGCTGGGCCAAGTCATAGAACCTCTGCGCAACCTGGCCTCGCAAATCCACCTACTCCGCCCTTGCCCACACTTGCTGTGGCTATGATGCTGCACTACGTCTTCACGCAAGCAAAAGAAAGTTGCAGTTTCAGCACGGCCAACTGCGTGGCAGTCTGTCGGCAGCTGCAACTGTAGCACACCTCTAGCCTAGCAAGTGCAAAATTCTCCTAGAGACGCACCAAACTACACAATGATACGCCTCCGCAACCCTCCGCTCATGCTCATCTGCCCGCTCAGCGCTTTGAGGACAACGTCCGTGAGAGCCAGTCGAGCCCCTCGTACAATCCATCTCCAGTGGTGGCGCAAGCGGATTGGATGAACCACTGACGATGTCGCAGATTGTGCAGCCCAAGCTTCTCGGTGACCTCTGCCGCCGTCATTGCATTCGGCAGGTCCTGCCAGGCTTCAATGTCTCAAAGCCCTGTCGAAATCCCTTGACTCCTGATGACTCCAGGTTTGAGCTGCCACGCCTGCTTGTTGGCGAAGACTAGAAGCACCGCATCACGCATCTCGTCTTCATTCAACATCTTGTTGAGCTCCTCACGGGCATCTTCAATGCGGTCTCGGTCATTGCTGTCAACGACGTAGATCAGGCCATTCGTGCCCTGGTAGTAGTGGCGCCACAGGGGGCGGATCTTGTCCTGGCCCCCGACATCCCAAACTGTGAAGGACAAGTTCTTGTACCTGTCGGGCGAAGCGACTACATGGAAGACTTCCCTACCTGCATGTCGTTGAGGCGACTTCGCAAAACGAACAGAAAACCTTTGTACCCTTTGCCATCCAGGCGCTCCACGGTCTCCACGTTGAATCCAATCCTTAGTCGATCAACTTCCCAGCAAGGAGACTTGGACAGTGGCTGAACGCTTGTCTTCAAGCCCAGGATCGTAGGGATCGTTGTGACCACCTCACCAAGCTTCAGCTTGTACAGGATGGTCGTCTTACCAGCCGCATCTAGACCAACCATCAGGATTCGCATTTCCTGCTTTCCGATCAAGCGCTGCCATATTTTCGTGAACGCGAGACCCATTGCTCGGAAGCAAATTAGGCAAGAGAGATTGCTCGGAGAAGACTCTGCCAAGCCAAAAACCGCACCAAGCAGTGCGTCTGTTGTGTGTTATGTTCATGCACTCCTCGAAGATGACAGTCTAAGTGCAGAACTATGCGGAAGGATCCAGGACCGCGACCGGCATTCTTGCGTGATGCGTAGAACTTTGTCAGCGCCAACCGCAAGCGGGCCTGGCAAAGGCAGAAGTGCCCAAATCATTTGTGCATGGGGCTTTCATTAGGTCATGGACCGGCTGTGATGCTTAGGACTCAGGCGCCAGGAATGCTGACAATTTTTTGCGGAAATCCGCAGACCCAAAGGTGTGGAGCGCAGTCTGCGTTTTGGGTCACAGGCATCAAGCAATGCTGTCTGTCTCCTGTTTCTTTGACAGGTGGTTTCTCATCTCCTGCCTTAGCTCCATGGAACGATCATCAGCAACTAGCTCCTTCCCTCTCTGTGAAGCTAAGCAGCATCTTCGCCGAAACATACTCGCCTTGGACATGCCCGGGCTTGCCAGCCGCCAAAGAAACACAAGTGCCAGGTGAAAAGGCCAGGATGATGCGCTCCATGCTGCTGGGAGGCCACATGTGGTCTTCTGATACCTCGTCAGACTGTCAGAGAGTTGAAGCTGCAAGAACTCTAAGCGGCAGATGATTCAGCTTAGCCGCAAGTGGTGACGGCAAAAAGGCAGGTACGTCAAGAACATTCCAGGAAGCACAGTTTAAGATGGGGCTTGCATCATGTTTGTCGACTTAGAACGTTTTTGGTCACATGCATCCTGGCTACTTGCTAGGACGTTCGCCGTCCACGCAAGTCGCCAAGCAATCCACCTCGGCATCCTGCCACAACTTCTTCATTGGCTTGAAAACTAAACAAGCTGTACTGTAGCTGAAGGTAAGCTAAAAGGATATCCGTCCTCATCCATGTTGTTGAAGAAGATGGCACTCCAGCGAGGGGCTGCAGAAGCGTTCAACACCCGGTGCACAGAGCTCTGAAAGACATCATTCGTCCTGGACAAGCCAGCCAGAGAAAAGTGGCAACCAGACCCAGCAGATATTCCTGCAAGAAATTCTCATTGCTGTGCAGGGGTGTCCATCTTTGGGCCAGATCGCCGAGGTTTGCGACCGGAGTGTACCTCAACTTACGCCCTTTCGAGAGCAGACTGTACTGACAGGCATCATCAACGCGCATCGAGGGATACGAATGCCACCAAGACGCTGCATTTCCGAGTGGTGTGCTTCCATAAGGTTCAAAACAATGTTCAAACAGCCAGGGGGTTGCAAACACCAACGCCTTCAGTACGCTTCTCGCGCATTACAGCCATCGCATATCAGCGGATCCCACGTAGACGCTCGATGTTGAACAGCTGCCCTCAAAAACCTGCAAGCCCTCTACAGCCCGCTTTAGACCCTATGGCTGGCTTAAGCCCACGTGAATCTGGTTCTTCGCCCCTGACACTCGCCAAATCACACCACTCTGCTGCGCACCTAATGCTGTGTCAGCACTCTGTTGAAAGTTACTACGACCCAAGACACAGCAGACTGCATGGAGATGCTGTCCTAACTAACATTTTGCTTCGAAACTGTCAAGCAGGTGGCCTATCTTGAAACATGATTTCCCAAAAATGCAGGGGAAGATACATCTACTCCTTACAACTTAAATGCTGCCGGACAAGGCTCCGGTCAGTTTTGACGGAGAGCCAGGATCCATCGGACTTCTGCACTTGCAAGCCTGCACTGGCATGTGCAGTGTACAGGCATCAGCCAAATCGAGATCTGAGTTTCACATTTTGTTTGCTCTGCCTTGTGCTTCAGAAGAGTCCTGGCAGACCAGTGTAAGGAAGCCACAGTCCTGAGTTCGCAAATGGCTCAGCAACGCAAGCGCCCCTTGAATTCGACAGGTGAACATTCACGATAAGCAACTAGGACTATGCGCTCGCGTCTTGCATGTAAAGCAGTGCGCGCCGCTTGTGCCATGAGCCATCGAAGCAGATCAGCTTGGTTTGTGCAACGTCAAGGGAAAGTTTGGTCAGGTGCAAAATCTCGCAACTCGAAAAACATATGTTTTCAGTGCAGTTCAGGAGCAGTATGCGCCCCGCAGGATAGATCTCCTGAACTCGTCAAATTCTAGGGTAGGCATGGCCCCTGCGAAAGATGCTGGTACTTGTAAGGAAACTGAACGCATACTGTGGCGCACGATACCACAAATTAAGCAGGGTCTGATCTTGGGTCTGCACAAACAAATCGGAAAACTGTTGGCGAGCTTCCATCTATGGCCGGCGGATAGAAGGCAAGCAGCACCTTGGAAACAGCAGGCCGGAAACGGCAGGCAGGGTCACCTTGCATCGTGCTGAACACTCCAGCCTTGGCGATAGGCTTCTGAAATGCACGGGATTCAAAGTGATCAGCCGGAAGATCCAGCGCTAAGCTCAGTCCCCTGCACTAGCTGGGCCAAGTGCAGCACTTTGCTTTGCCAGCTCTTGGCCCAAAAGTGTGTCAACTTGCCTAAAACTGAAACTGCTCTGCCTCAGCAATTCACGCGAAAGCTGCAGCTGCGAGGAATGGAATTTACCTTGAGAGAACACAGCTTTGGGGGATCGATCTCATTTCTGACCACTCGCCAAATTGAAATTTGCAGGCGGGCATCGAAGCTTACCGTAAAACGCTGGCACGGGCTCAGGCACACCTAATCTGGCACAAGCTGCACAAGCTGAATTGTTAGGCAGGGCAAGAAACTAGTCAACCATACCTGCGCGCAGCTGGGGCTTCTTAGGCGTTTTCAAACAGAATGCTGGCCTTCTGTCACATCTGGTGGCTCGCCACAGTAGAAAGTCTCCTTTCCTTGGAATCGATTGCATGCGCGTCTGTGCATAGATTTCAGAGTGAGTTGAACCAAGCTTTCCACTCGATGGCACGCAGCAGATTGCATTGTGCCAGTAAAAATGAAATTTCATTGCTGCGCAGCATCTTTCAGGCCGCTTGGAGCTTAAAGAGCCTCAGCGGTGGGCAGCAAAGGCAAAGAGACCAAAACTGGTGATCTTGTCCTGGCGTTTGCAGTGGTGCCCAGTTGTGACAGAAAAGGGGGTCACTTATGACTTCTCCCGGGGATCACTTGTGACTTCTCAAGAGGAGGGTCGCTTGTGACTTCTCTCGGGGGTCACTTGCGACTTCTCAGAAACGCGAATT